GGAGGAAGGACCTGCTGGAGGAAGGACCTGCTGGAGGAAGGACCTGCGGTGACGCTCCTTTGTGCATTTAGGAGCAGGAACCTGTCACTGAACGAGCTCTCCAGTTCAGCAGCAGCTTCATGGGGTGGAGACGTTGTCCAGCAATGATGTTATTTTAGCTGGAGTCCTTCTGTCTCCCACCACCTGACCTGGGTCCAGGGGGCGTCCAAGCACCGAGCTGGTCTTCTTGATGATCTTATCTAGCTGCTTCTTCTCAGCTGATGATAAGCTGCTGCTCTAACACACAACACCATAGAAGATGGCTGATGCCTCTACAGAGTCAAAGCAGGTCTTCAGGAGCACCCCCTGCACTCCAAAACACCTCAGTCTCCTCAGCAGGTAGAGTCTGCTCTGACCCTTCCTGTAAAGTGCATCAGTGTTGTGAGACCAGTCCAGTTTATTGCGCAGGTGAACACCCAGATACTTGTAAGAGTCCATGATCTCGATGTTCACTCCCTGGATGTTCACCGGGGTCAGTGAGGTGGACCTGTGCCTGTGGAAATCCACCACCAGCTCCTTAGTTTTAGCAGCGTTGATCAGGAGCTAGTTCTGCTGGCACCAGTCCACCAAGTCTTGAGTCCGCTGTCTGTACTCGGAGTGGTCCTCACCTGTGATGAGGCCGACTGTGGCAGAGTCAGAGAACTGTTGCAGATGACAGTGAGGGAGTTGATGGTGAAGTCTGCAGTGTAGAGGGTGAAGAGGAAAGTTGCTGTAACGGTGTAGTAACTGTATACAGTAAATTATTCTGTTGTTGCAACTTTGTGTTGGTTGGGATGTACACAGTGTTCATCATTTTTTGTGGGAAAAATAAAAAATATATGTTACCATTTATTTGTGTGTTCTGAGTGTAAAAACATCTATCCATCCATCCATTATCTTTACCCGCTTCTTCCATTTTGGGTCACGGGGGTCGCTGGTGCCCATGTCCAGCAATCACTGTGCGAGGGGCGGGGGACACCCTGGACGGGTCTCCAGTCCATCACAGGGACACAGAGACAAAGGAGACAAACAACCATTCACTATCTCACTCACACCTAGGGACAATTTAGAGTTACCAATCAGCCTAACATGCATGTTTTTGGTCTGTGGGAGGAAACTGGAGTACCCGGAGAAAACCCACGCATGCACGGAGAGAACATGCAAACTCCACCCAGAAAGGCCCCTGGACCGGGGTTTGAACCAGGGACCTGCTCGCTGAGAGGCAGCAGCTCTACCAGTTGTGCCACCGTGCTGCCCAGTGTAAAAACAATATTCTAAAATATTTCACAATACACTGATGTATGTACTATTTGTACTAAGTGTAACACTGAACAAAAAAGGGTCTGTCATTATGATGATGGGATAGAAATGTTTTACACAGAGTAGATCAGTGTTGAACTGGTTCTTATAAAGGTCTATTCATACGATGGTTTGTGTGTGTCATCTGAGAACAAAATACCATTTTGAGAAGAGAAAACATTGTTTTGAATGTAAAATGGTTGAGCCACTGCAAGAGGGTGCTATTTATAAGACTGAGCTGAATACAGCGCCTCAGACTGACTTTTTTAGATTTTGAATGTAAAGTTTCATTTTGAAGGAGAATTGAGGGCTTTTGCCCATCGTGTGTGTTTTTTGACTCGTGTGTAGAGTTTTGAGAGTATGAGGCTTTCAGAAAATGTGTGGAAACAATTGAGAAAAACTGTAATACTTTTGAACGTCAAAACAGATCCTCCACACCACGTGGTGGCGGTAATGAGCACCTTCACGTTTCTTTTGCTGACCTCGCTTCAAGTCTAAACAGGAAGAAGTAAATGTAAATATTGTTATGGGCAAATATTTCATTCACAAGTGCCGTTTCCTTAAAAAAAAACATCATTCCCTACTTTTCACAAGGAACTCTGCCACATCTTCTTATCTGTTCATGGACAAACTTCAAGGTGTGGAGTTGTTTCATATGATAAACGAACTGAAACTTCTGAAAAACCCCTAGTTTGTATTTTATTTGTTTATTTATTTATGTGTTATTTTATTCTATTTGATTCTTGCATTATTATTATTGTTTTTATTATTATTATTTCTGTGTTTGGAAGCAATCTATGCTAGCTTTTTCAGATTAGAATATCTCTGATATCGATGCCATATTTGTTGTAAATGCTGTTTATAAAAATAAAAAGACTAAACAGGAAGTGACACCAACTTCCTGTCACGTGTTTTCGGTGAGCGGGAAGAGTCGTGCGAACTAGAAAGCGGTGATGAACATTTGTATTTTTTGGTGTTTTACGTAACGACATTTAATTATTCTAAAGTTACCAAATTAACTTACATATATAAAATTTTTCATGATAAATGAAAGTTGCGCTTAAAACGTAGTATTGGATGGTAGTCAGTGAGTGGAAAACGTGACGTTCACTTTGTGGCGTAAAAGACTAGAGAAAAACGTGCCTTACGTTAGATTTAAACTAAAGTTGTTCCTTTGTTAGGCAGCTATAGTAACGCAGCATGGCAGCATCCTCTGTGGAGTATCCACCTTATTCTGCAAGAGCGTATGTGGGCTGCCATGACAGACAGGTACCGCCCCCTCCCGGTTTTATACTTCCGGTGAGCTAAAGCGAGAGGCACTTTTGCTAATGACAAATTCTAGTAATTTGTGCTGTAGCAGGAGGCTTAAACAATTCTAATATGAGTTCGGGTTCAACTTGTGCTGTTGTTGGCTGTCACAACAGCTCCAGAAAACTGAAAGACGAGCTAGAAACGTATTGTTTTGCACATCAACAACTTCGAAAGGCCTGTGTGTGCCCAGCGCGTTACGAACTACACTCCATGCCGAGGAAGGAGGATCGAAAACGAGCGTGGCTGGCAGCTTTAAAACTCAAATACCCCCCGAAGAGAGTTTATGTTTGCTCCTTTCATTTTATTGATAAAAAGCCCACAGAGTTTCACCCCGACCCGGAGCTCTATCTGGGCTATGACCGGGCCCCACCAAAGAAAAGAAGGCAGCTCATCCGGACCACTGTGAGCCAGACAGCTTCCAGCAACATCGACAAAACGGCCGAATCTGTTCCCGGTGAGTGAAATAGAAAATGTGATTTGTCCCCGCTTCACATTTTAATCATGCTTAGCTCTTATCTTTTACTGAATTATATTATTATTAATGTTATAATTGTAATGTTATAATTACTATACTGTGGATGGTGTTAGCATCAGCGCTAGCTGGTTGCAGTGTTATTGTGGATGTTAGTGTATTATTAATTTAATTCCAAAATACTTTATCACTAAGAGAAAGTACTTGATTGGCAGCCAAATCCAAATCTTAAAGACAAAGTGGTTAGTAATTAACATCAGTAGCATGCTAGCAGAGATGTATATGATTTCATGTAACTGTCCGAGAATAGCTTTTTATTTAGCAACCTGGTAAAATTCAGCCCCCAGGGCTGTAAAAGTCTGGGGATTTTGTTAATAAAGAATATGTTGAGTTATTAGAGGCAGGTTATTTGAAACAGACACAGCTGAAAAAAAAACTTCTTTTAAACTCTTTAAAGAAAAAGCTTAAATGCAACCTAGCTCCAACTGATTTTTTTAAGGATGAAAAACTAAAATCTAATCACAATATTTTGATATTATAGCATAATTTGATGGGGCTTAGGAAAATTTAAGGGGGCTAAAGCCCCACTAAAACAGCACTATTGACATTTAAGATGTATCATGTGTGTACGAGTGTGGAATTACAAATTTCCTTCCTAAAACGTAATAAGGTAAGTGACACTTGACAGGTTGTGTTACGCTGATTTGATTTTGTATTTTTGTGTTATTCAGAGTGCACCGTAGATTCACCGTCAGTCATCCCAGACCTGGCTAGCGTCTCCACACAACCTCCTGGGCCACATCTGCACTCAGTCCACACACAGTGGGAGGACCCTTCGCTAAAAGATCATCATCAATACTGCAACACGTCTGGCAGAAAAGATGTCCAGGACAAGACGACTCAGTGTGATGAAGTTGCATTTTTTCTTCTACAAAATGACGCAGACGCTTTGCTGTACACTGGTATAGCGTTAGAAACATTTAACACTCTTGTGTCAGCACTGGAAGGAGATGACAACAATGAATTTACAATGCCTGTACAAGATCAAGTCCTTATAACACTTATGAAAATAAAGACTAATCGTGTCTGCAGCCCTTGAGTTGATGTTATACTGCTGCTCTGCCTTGTGGTGTCTGAAGTTTATCATGCTTAGACGTTTGGGTTGAAGATTCTTTGCTGTCCCAGCATTCCACCTGCGCTGCTCATCTGTACATGCTAGCCCCGTCTTTCCACTGATCACAGCATTCTGGACCTGTAACAATTTAACAGACTTCAGCTATCACTGCTCCTAATAAAATGAAACAAGTTATTTACATCCCTGCTGTTGTCATTTATTTTTTCCTTTTCTGTAAATGTTAGGTTGCCTTGCATCCAGTCTGTACTTTTTTTAAAACAAATAATATAAAAATACTGTACAGCCTTTTTAATGTTTAATTTTTTGTGACAGTAGATCACAGGCTGCACAATGCTCTGGCTTCCACATGTAAACACAGGCAGACAGGAAGCTCACAGCTTTCGCCCAGTTCAGTGATTCTGATTCAGTGATGTAAATATTCTGATATCCAGATAAGTGATATACCTTCCACAGAATAGCTGCCGCATGACTGCATGATTTTCCCAATCCGGCGATACAGGAACAGCCGACCGTTTCTACCACTCCACTTTCTCTGAGCATGACCCATGCTAAGTGTTTAGCTTGACCAACGCTCTGGCTCGGCTCAACAGCTGCTTTCAGAAAGATAAAGTCGCCTTGTTTCTTGAGCAAAACTGTATCTATTTTGTTGCTGTGGAGGTAATTATACGCCTCTGTGCTTTTATAATTCCGCAATTCCTCGCCATCGACGCCTTCAGAAAAAACAAGGTAATTAATAATATCGATGTAGGTAATTCCGGGCCATGATTTCATATCATCTACCCAGTCCGTGAGAAATGATGGGTGAGACACAGTTAACGACTTATCTTCGCAGCTTTTTAAAACATCCTTGCAATGTATCCACCTCTGATGTGCTGCCATTTACTTCAGGTAAAGGAAACTTTTGTGTCAAAAACATTAAATTGCTAGCAAGTGTGTTAACCCACAAACGTAAACAACAGCGCGGGATCGCGGGCGGAAGTAAACAACCGGCTTCCGCTATGAATTATGGGTAGTGGCGCCAAATCCGGAATAAGGTGGATACTGTCGGGGGGGTGAAGATCCACTTTCCCTGCAAGGCTTACCCATCCCAGCTGGCCATGATGAACTCGGTAAGTTGAAGCTGTCGCACAGGTTTCCATTTGAAACGTCTAATGTCAGTCTATTGAGCGTGCATCAAGATGTCTAATGTCAGTCTATTGATCGTGCATCAGTATGTCTAATGTCAGTCTATTGAGCGTGCATCAAGATGTCTAATGTCAGTCTATTGATCGTGCATCAAGATGTCTAATGTCAGTCTATTGATCGTGCATCAAGATGTCTAATGTCAGTCTATTGAGCGTGCATCAAGATGTCTAAAGTCAGTCTATTGATCGTGCATCAGGACGTGTAATGTCAGTCTTATCCTAGAAGTCTGGGTGTTGGTTTAACTTGTAAACTCCCAGGCTCAGGGGGTTCACCTGTATAAGTACAGGTTGAATGAAAAACGTGGTCAGAGGGACATGAAGCTGTTTAGGGATGATGGCCTTTCATCTTTAACATGGATATTTATCATCTTTGCTTTCTCTCTTCCATGTTCAGCGTGCTGCACACATCCTCACCAGTTGCTATTTGTTCCCTTTAAATACACCAAATTGTTGATGAAAAGCTTGAAGGTATCTTGAGTGTTAATTAGTGTTGGTAGTATGAAACAAAAGCTTCAAAACATGCTTCGAACCCTGCAGTAAAATTACATGGGTCCACTGCTTCGAAGCCTGTTTTGGTGCAGAAGAAGACACGTGAGGTCCGAAACACAAACTGTCTCGTTGTCACAATGAATCTCTTGACTGGTTCCAGGTCCAAACAGCTGATCCCCTGCACCGCCTCGTTCTCACAGGTGACAGGTTGAGACAGTTTTGAACTGAGAGCTCAGCTCTAACATGTTTGTGTTGGAGAGCAGCTGTGTTTCTGCTGTTGGTTGAAAGAGAGTAATTATGGAGGCATGCAGGAAAACAGGTGGTTCTAACATGTGGGTTCATTCTGCTCATGATGAGGTGTTTAAATGTCCAAAAAGTTATAGTATGTTCAGCAGTGAAGATATTATCTAACCCATTTAACCCATGTATTTAATATAATTACAGTAAAATGATGTATGTGATTTTAATAATCATATATCAGTATGGGCTCAAATTAAATTTTTTATTTACTTTAGTGTATTTCTGCAGGTGCAGTGTTTGGTGTGTTCAACTTTTTTCTTTTTTTAATTATTTTATTACAAAACTTTATTAATTTTACAAACTGTTTGCCAGGGGTATATTAGCAGGTACAAAGTATAGAAAGAACAATTTGGTTATAAAATGGTACAAAGGGTAAAAAATTCTAAAGACACAACACAATATATTTACATGTTATACAGATAAATTCACATTGTTTTTCTAGAACTGAGTTGGTTTTCATTGCCTTTTTGTTTTCCAGTCCTTTAACAGCACTGCTGTAAATGTAAAGTTCTGCTGAAGTGGGTTCTGTTTGACTTGGACTTTGACCACTTTTTCTTGTGAATGTGGAATTTTCCCAGGAGAAGTAGAAGTTGGGTGAAGTAGATCAGGTCTTTGTCCATATCCTTATTGTCGAAGCATAATATATTACCATACCATACCACTTTATTTATAAAGCACTTAAAACAGCGACAAGGCCAACCAAAGTGCTGTACAGACAGAACAACAGGTAACACACAAAGCAAAATACAAAATGAGGTAAATCAGAATAAAGACATAAAAACGATGCAGATAATGATGACAAACCAGTGTGGAGCATACAGGATCAAAACACAGATCATCTGGTGTTGAAAGCTGCTGAATAGTAGTGAGTTTTTAAACAGGACTTGAAAACCGAGAGGGAGGGGGCCTGTCTGACAAGCAGAGGTAACTCATTCCAAAGTCTTGGTCCTGCTACAGAGAAGGCCCTGTCACCTCTGCGCTTAAGATGAGTTCCTGGAACTGTGAGGAGCAACTGGTCCGCTGACCTCAGGGAACGTGGTGGGACATATGGCTGCAGCAGATCAGAGAGATAGGGGGGGACACTGTTCAGTGATTTGTAGACATACAGGAGAATTTTGAACTGGATTCGAAAGTGAACCGGTAACCAGTGCAGTGAGGCCAAAACTGGTGTAATGTGCTCTCTTTTGCCTGTACTGGTTAAAAATGGGGCTGCTGCATTCTGGACCAGTTGTAGTCGTGCAATGGAGGTCTGACTGATGCCAAACAGGAGAGAATTGCAGTAATCAAGCCTAGATGTATTGAATGCATGTGTTACTGTCTCCAGGTTCTTTTTGGACAATATGGGCTTCAGTTTAGACAGCCGCCTCAGTTGGAAGAAGCATGATTTAACAATCATGTTTACATGATTGTTAAGTTTCAGGGAAGGGTCCATTATCACACCCAGATTAGTGACTCTTTGTATTTCTGACAGGGTTAGAGCGGAGAGGTCGATGCAGTGGTTTGTGATCGTGTCGTTGGGAGGGAACAACATGACTTCAGACTTGTTTTCATTGAAACTTAAGAAGTTTAAAGCCATCCAGTCCCTGATGTCAGCCCGGCAGTTGAGCAGAGGTTGGATAGAGCATGTACCATTGTGTTTTAGTGGGAAGTAAATTTGACAGTCATCGGCATAGGAGTGGAAGGGCATGCTGTGTTTCCGGAAAATAGCACCCAGCGGCAGCAGGTATAAAGAGAATAGGAGGGGACCCAGTATGGACCCCTGCAGAACCCCCCATTTAAGCTCTGCCTCTGCGGAACTAAAATCCTTGATGGAGACACAAAAGGATCTGTCAGCGAGGTAAGATCTGAACCAATTGAGGGCTGATCCTGTGATGCCCACCCACTGCTCTAACCTAGCAATGAGGATCTCATGGTTGATGGTGTCAAAGGCGGCTGTGAGGTCCAACAGGACAAGCAGCACAGAATCACCGGTATCTGTGAATCTGAAGATGTCATTAAAGACCTTCAGCAGGGCAGTTTCAGTGCTGTGGAGAGGTTTAAAGCCAGACTGGAAAAGCTCTAAGATGGCGTGATCCTCCAGGAAGCACTTCATCTGGGACTAAACTATTTTTTCCAGTACTTTAGAAACAAATGGGAGTTTGGAGACAGGCCAGAAGTTGGATACGACTGAGGGGTCAAGGTTTGGTTTTTTTCAGGAGAGGATGGACAGCAGCATGTTTAAAGGTTTTTGGCACCACACCAGTGGATAAACTACTGTTTACTATGGCAAGAATGGATGGACCTAGAGTTGGAAAAACCTCCTTTAGTAGTCGAGGGGGGACCACATCAAAGAGGGAGCCAGAAGGTTTCAAGCTGCACATGACCTGCTCTAGAGAAGATAGAGTGATGGGTTCAAAATGGTCAAAAGGAGCTACAGATTGAGGTGGGATGGATGGGTCATGAGTTGGAGGGGAAATGAGAGCCCGGGTGGTCGCAATTTTTTCCACAAAGAAATGTAGGAAGTTGTCGCACAGCTCAGTCGAGGCTTCCAGAGGTGATGGTTCAGTGAGGTGGAGAACAGAGTTTAGGGTGGAGAAGAGGACACGTGGGTTGCGAGACTTTGAGGGAATGATATCAGAAAAGTATTTGGATTTAGTGTCTTTCTCTGTAAGTTGAATTATTTGTCCAGTTTTCAGTTGTATGAGTTGTTGTTTATCTGTTCAGAACGTCTTTGTGTGATTACGTTGATAGAATAAATGAGAGATTGTTTCCATGTGTAGTTCACAAAATGTACAAGAGTAGTCAACATCAAGTTTAAATCTTTCCAGTGTTTTTTAACATTATGATTGATTTTATATGAAACCTCTTTAACTTTATTTGTTATGCAACATTTTTCTCCATTCAACCAAACTTGTTTCCACTTAATTTCTCCACATGTAGAGGACCAAAAAAAATCTACCAGGAGGTAAAGTAATGTTCTGCAGACGTTTGTTGTGTTCAACTGAAGCATCATGGGAACACCTCCTCTATGATCAGACACTTCAGCTCCAAACATGGAGATGATGGAGACGTCATTTCATTATTTTAAGAATGATAAAGACTCTGCCACAGTTACACAAGCACAATACCATTGCAACATTTTTATTAAATCTCTTCAGTGCACATTTATCAATCTTTATTCAAAAACATGTAAACATAAATACATTTTCAAACCAGACAACATAGAAAGTTGATTAATTTAAAAAAAAATCTGTTTTTTACCACAGTAAAGTAGTTTCTTTAACTCTAGTCACTGAAGTTCTTCAGTGTGTGACACCAAAAGTATAATTTGACAGCAGCGTTGCAAAATGCCACAAGAGGTCACTGTAACTGAAGCTTCAACAAATGAACCTATTTTTGAAACAGTTGGCCCAACTGGTTCAATGCTTCATAAAAGCTTCATTTGCTCATCACTACTGTTAATTAAAGTCTAACATTTAGTTTGAAATTTGAGTAGAATGCAAAGATTAATGGGCATAAACTTTTCCTTCCCAGTATCATGAGGCGACTGTCTAAACTGAAGCTTATTGTTACCAGAGTTCACTTTTGGCACAGCGTTAAACGTGACGCATGAAACTTGGTTTGGCTTCGTGTTGCTCCTCCTCACTCTAGCAATGTTTGAAGGAGCACACACTTTTTATTAATCACAGGTGCAATAAATTAGAGAAGTCACATGACTCACAATAAACCAATAAAAATAAGCCAATTAAAAACAAACAAACACAAATCTAAACAAATGAGAGCATCACAAGACAAAAACATTCATAATGTCAACACCCCCGCTTGCTCACATTTGGTAACTTCCTCAGACTCTGTAACTGTTTCAACCTAAATACATTCTTCATACACCAAACATAAACATTTCATACATTTTCAACTTCATCTTGGTTGCTGGTTTGGTTATTACATCTGCAACCATATCATTAGTTGCACAGTACTCCAGAAAAACTTTTCCTTCATTTACAACTGATCTGATGAAATGATATTTAATATCAACATGCTTACACCTTTGCCTGTGTACAAGATTTTTGGCTAAGGATATGGTACCCTGATTGTCCTCATAGATCTTAGCTAAATAATCCAGACCATCCATGTTGAATAACAGTTGTCTTAAGTAT